GTCAGTTGGGGTCAGCTGTCCCAACTGTGACCCCTCCCAGCTTCTTGTGCACGTCCTCACTGGCAGAGCATGGGAAGCTGAAAAGTCCTTGACTTAGTATAAGCACTGCTCAACAACAACTAAAACATCAGTGTGTTATCACATTGTTCTCATGCTAAATCCAAAACACAGCACTATACCAGCTACTAGGAGGAAAATTAACTTCATCCCAGCCGAAACCAAGACACCTAGTTAACTAGAGGTTGCTGAAAAACAGCAGGACCAAGATCACAAATACTTGTTCTTATTACAGCTGAACCTAACTTGCACTTTACATTCACTTTACATTGCACTTTTTTACATGCATTTTTTTATTCAGTAGTTGAAAAATTGGCATGGGGATTGGGGGATCCCTCCAAGGTAAGAAAGCATCTGTGTGTGTATGGCTGCCTTTGTAAATACCTTTTTCTGTAGATATCTGTTGTACATGGATTTAGATATAGATACATTCATAAGTATAATTACGGGTATAGACATTTGGTTAACTTGAAAGCTCCGAAGTGTCGTTTGTCACATTTATGGTAGGAACTTTAACTGCGTTAAATACTTATTCTTTTCCAAAGTGACTTTTTTCTTTTCCCTTTACAAAAAAAATCAAAATGTACTTCATGAAACTATTGTATATGAAGCACTTATTAGCCGTAATTAAATGGACAATATGAATTTACTACGTCTTTAGGACTCTGGCTTGTTCTGGTTTAGAGCAAGATGATTAATGCAAATACATATTACTTGAGATAACCATTTAGCAGCTAATTTAGCCAAATTTATTACAGCAGTTAGAGGTTTTTCATTTTAGCAGACGGAGACAAGGACATGACAAAAGCAGAAGGTGTATATGAATGCACACTGCCCTCTAGTGCACAAAGCTTTATGGGATTAGTGAGAAATGCAGAAGAGAGTAAGTGCTCCAGTAACAATAGTACCCAGATTTTGTACAGCTAGGTTTTCTTTAAAACCATGCTGCTCCCTTCCACTGAAAGATTTGCATTTCATCCCCTTCTCCTGACACTGAAGCATCAGATACAAACCAAATCCGTTTTAACTTGACAATATTTTGGCTGAAGTATTACTTTAAACATCTGTATTTTTAAGCCTTCTTGCTGTGAGCATTTAATAACACCGTTTCACATTACTGATTGCTTTTACTTGTTTCTCTGTTTCCTAGCATTTTTCAAACATCGGTGAGAGCTGTCACTCTTTGGCTCTAACCAAACCATTCTGTGCCTCCCTTAGGCCTCTTTCTCAGTCTGTTGGTGGATTTACTTTGCTCTGCTAGAAAGCAAATTCTCCCAAGGCTTTCCCCCCACTGACCAGTGGAAATTTCGTTCATCTGAGAACTGTAAATTCTGTTTGACAAGATCAAAGAAACAGATGTATAAGTTCAGTGGTTGATATTGCCTGCAATAAGGAGAAATGATCAAAGCAGCAGGGGTAGAGTATCTTCCCAAACCTTTCAAATATCCAGAATCTCAAAGAGGTCTACCTAGGAGCTATGAATAAATCACAGACAAATTTGCCTCTTTTTTTTCCTTTTCTTTTTTTACAGTTTGCCATTGAGTGCATTGAAAATGTCCATACAGCAATAAGTATTCTGTGAACCTAAGAGATTTGTAGTTCTTTTTACTTTTCGTCTTCCACTAGAGTTTCCAAAAACATTAAAATTATACTTTAAAAACTTGTAAAACATACAGCTAGTTATAATGAATTTTAGATCCTGTTTGTCATCTCACTGTCATGCTGCATTAAAACTAAAGGAATCCAAGTATCTTCTGCTCATACTTGTGGCATGTTGTACAATGAAGATCATTTTACCACAGTTTTCACATGCGCTATATTTTGCTTCTGTTTTGTTTGTATTTTTTTGCCAGTGCTGAATAAGGGTCAATGTGTAACAAAGTATTACCGCTGGATGCAGAAGAACGGAGGTTATATCTGGATACAGTCTAGTGCAACCATAGCTGTTAATGCCAAGAACGCAAGTGAGAAGAATATCATCTGGGTCAATTACCTTCTTAGGTAGGTCTTCCAGTCACTTTTCTCACTTGAACTGCTGTCTCTGTTGCTTGTCTCTGTTGGTGAGAGTTTTAGGGAAAAAACAATTGCCTACTGGAGGAAGTTAAGGAGAAGAACTTTTCATATGGTCCACCTCAAAACCAGTGCCATTTGGTTATATTTATTGACATCTGTCATGTCTCAGTATACTGGCATATTCTTGAATTATTATGCTGCTTTAGTCTTCAAATAAACCCTCCACCATTTTATTGCATGCCTCCACTGCCCTGAAATCTACTCAACCTGAGCTCAAAGATAAAAATGATCCACGCCAACTTTCAGTAGTTGTGTTATAAAATCTGGTGTGAAGTGTTGGGCACTGGTTTATTTGGTTATTGAAAATGCATGGAAGCAAACTTCTGGAATGCTACAAAAAGGTCTCTCTGAAAGGTGTTTACCAGTTCACCCCAGAGAGGGGAATTTTCTCAGGAGAAGAACCTTGAACTAATATGTTGCTCCTGTAACCATCAGACAATATTCACACCGAAAAATGCAAAATAAGATTTAAAAATAAACATAGCAGTTAGAACTATTTTAAATAGAAGTAGTAGTAATATCTTGAATTAAAGACTCTTCCCTGAGAAATTCTGTTTTACCAAAGCCCAAGTATTTTTAAAGGACTGGTTTCTGAGCTCAAGGGAAGACCAACAGTCACTGAGAGACAGTGAATTATAAACCTGACCTTTCTGTCTGAAAATACCTTTCAACGCATTCTGTTTTGTGAAAATGTTCAATAAGATTGGGGGATTTTCTGTTTCATTTCAGAGCAGAACAAACAAACAAATAAAACTTGAAACCTTGAGATTGTCATGAAATGCAATTGTCATTTTGTGGCCTGTTCTCCTTTTAAGTTGCTTGTCATGGTTTGTTACATTCCCTTTGATGCCATGAGAGTTCAAAGTGATGTCTAGGGGTTAGATTGTGACTTATTATGCCAAGTCCAGCAAGCCCTGAAGAGACTGTGCCTGCCTAAACTTGCATGTTGAAATACTTTTGATTCCCCTTTCGGGGAAGAGGAGGAAGCAACCCCTGGCAGGAGAGCATTGAGGGATACTGCGGGAAACCTTCCACAGCAGTGGAGTGTTCATTGGGGCTTGCATGTTTCTGTCCTGCTATGGTTGAGCACAGGCATTTCCAAACATATCCTTATCCGGCTACCTTTTTGTCTCTTTTTGCAAGAGTGAGGCAGAACGCAGCATTTCAAGAGGTCAGCTTAAGCCTGGCAATTCTGAACTGAAAATACAGTTTCACTGCCCTAGTTCTAACAGGGCTTCAGAATGTCCAGAAATGTGCTCATATTCTAGCTGGAAAAGTGGTCCATAAGAATTACGAACAGTTGCCTCTGTCCCCTTTGCTGCTTTCCAGACAATAGGTGAACCTAGTCCACAAACGTCCCACAGAATTATTTTCTCTACCAACAGAATATACCTTACAAGAAAAGAAAAGCAGTGTCGTTTTCCCCAAGTCTCCTCCCAGAACTTGATTATTCTGCTGCATTCCCTTCACTGGTCTCTTAGAGAAAGGTTAACTTCTCCACTGAATTTGTATTTTTAATTTAGATTTCTCCTAATACTGGAAAGATCCAAATGTCCAAATAATGTTTTAATGACACATCAAGGCATAATTAGGTCTACTCTTAGCAGGAGTACTGGTCTGTATACATTTCCATGCATTAGAAAGTATGATTCAGCTGTCTGTAAAAGGATAGACTAATTACAGTGACAGGGAGGATTAATGTTGTTCTTGTTCTAGCAACTTGTTATTCACAGTGTGAAAGCCCTCAAACATCTTTTGCTTGAAGGGGGCAAATTTGGGGACTGCCCTGGGATGCAAGCGAATGAAGTCACTTTGTCAGGACAAAACCATAAAGATGATAATCGTAAGAATGGCATTTCAATGTGAACTGTGTGAACTCTGAATTTTCACAGTACACTGTAATAGGCTGAATATGGGTGCGTTGTCATTGTGATAGTGTGTCAGTCACCCCCAGTGCTGCCTCATATTGTTCTACACAGGACTGCAGATTTTCTGCTCTATCACTGGGCTGGACTTTGAACTGCATAGAAATGCTCACCTATTCAAAAATGATTAAAGACTTTGTTTATTTTCAACATTCCTATGCCACTTATGTCTAGCTGTGTCTATTCCCCTGCCTTTGCACAGATCTGGGAAAGGAGCACATTTTAAAAGGTACAAACCAAGAAAAAGCGTAGGGTTTGGTTTTTTCAGTTTCTCTGGTAGTGTAGCTTTTTTACATTGCAGTCATGTTCATTGCTAACAAGTCACAGGTGAGCACCACATGAGCAGATGAAGATATGATTATAATGGGTGTGTTGACAGTTCTTTATCCCTAACATATGCATCTTAACATGCACATGTGCATCTGTCATATAGTTAGAGTGGTTGCTTTTGGTTTCTTGGTGATGTGAATGCATGTGTGCAGTGTTTAAAAAATATATAACCTTTTTTATCTATTTTTTGGCCAAATTCTTTTGAGCAGTGGTCATTTTCTTTAGCCCTAACTGAGCACCTTCTTACTAACTTTATGTATGGTCTGCTTGATTAAAATGTGGAAAACAGGAACGTTGAGAAAACCAGGTATTGAAAGGGCTCTGGCAAGGTTGATAGGGAACATTGTTACAGAGATAACTCTAATAGACATTGCCGGTGGGAGAGAAACAGATTGGAAAAGTTGAAACACCTCTCTGTACTTCCAGGCCCAGTAATGGGATCGAAATCGAGATATTTTGTTGTTGGATGATTACACAGTGTAGCTTCACTGCTACATATCACACAAGCCATGGTGTCCCACTTCAGTAAGAATGCTTTGATAGCTTTAAAACTTCACTAGAATCAAACGAGTTTTAGTACCTGGTCAATATAAGTATTTGACAGCGGTATTAAAATAAACCTTCATAAAATCTCTGCTGTGAAGCTCTGAGCAGCCAAAAATGTTTCCATGTTTGCTCTGCTATTCTTCCTATTTATGTTCTTTGTTCCTGAACTTTGGTATGAAAAGAGGGAAAAACCATGAAACTGCAAATCATCCAATTGTGTTTATATTTGCTGTCTCCTCTTCAGTAACCCAGAGTACAAGGACACTCCAATGGATATTGCACAACTTCCTCATCTGCCAGAGAAAACCTCAGAATCCTCGGAAACCTCTGACTCTGAATCGGACTCAAAGGACAACTCAGGTAACACACATGGTGTGCCTTTACGCCTACAAAAGGTTCATATCATGAGAGCCACGTGGTTGGCTTTCCAGTTGCTTTTACTTCTCAAAGATTGTTCCATTATAAGAAAAAAAAAAATCCTGTAAAATTAGATTGAAAAACACTAGCAAAATCTTTTGATGACCTCATCATTTCCACAGTATCTCCATTTCCTCAGTATTTCTCTTCACTGTGTGCGTGCATCCTTGCCTACACGGCACTGAACTAAATATTTGATTTCCCAGCTAAGCTTCATGAACAGGTATTGTGCCTTGTGCAGAGGACCTGGGATTGTAACTGTTGAATACAATTCTAGTTCTTATCTTTCCAGAGTAGGCATATTTTCTGAAGATAAGTCTCTACTGTCAATCTTTATGACACTTTTTCCTGTACAAATACATTTTTGAAGAGTCTCGCTAGGGGGCAGTGAAGATTGCAAAATTTGAGAGTTTTCTTGGGTTAAAAGAATTATATTTTATTAGAAGATACGGGTTCAAGCACTTGTTTCGAAGCTCTGTAAGTCTGGGACTTCGGCTGTTTTTTAAAAGCTAAATGTACTTGTCAAACTCAATGTGTAAATTAGTCCTACAGATGGTCCAGTGCACAGATGGTTCACACATTCCCCATTAGTTTTAAAAGTGGTTACCTAGGCACAGGTACAGATCATCTGGCTTTGAAAGGAGCATGGTTTCCTGTGGCCCAAGAACTAAGGATGTTACTCTGCTGTAGTATACGGTACATATATATGATTCTTCTCTCGTGTCTATGATAACAACCAAAAAAAATCTGGAGAAAATGGATCACAGTGACATAAATCAAGCAAAAGCAAGAAGAGGATCAGGCCTTACTGTTATATGATATGGCTGTTCTCTTTCATCTTTTGCCTTTATTTGTTCTCCTTTGACAGCTTGGTTTGATGGTTTAAGTCAACATTAGGCACACATACAGGCTTGTTGCCCACCATCATTGGGAATCTCTTCACCCATTCCTAGTGCTTCCTTTATGCTGTCTTGTTCCTAAATAGCCAAATAACACACATGTGGAGAACAGTTTGCATTTCCCATGTGCACTGTAAGTTTCTCCACGTGAGAAGTGCGTGTTCATTCATGACTCCTAAGGCTGATGCAGAGCAAGAGAGCATTCTTCAAAGGTGCACAGATGAGTACATCTCAGAAGGAAATATTTGGGAGTCTTGGAAGACTGCAGAGGCAGGGGGTTGTTTCTTACAAAAGAATTAAATAGAAATGCCAAAGGACCTGAAATCGGAACAGCATCTTGGATGAAACCAACAAGTTCAGTTCAAACTCTGATAAAATCCCAGGCAACTTTGTGTAGCTTTAGATTACATCACCCTAAACCCACTCTTGACCAGCTAGAAACCATGGCCTTACAAGAAAGCATCTTAAAAAAAAGAAAAAGAATTGTAGGAGAAATTCAACCCTAGGTGGAACAAAAAGCTGGATGGAATTTAGGGGTTTGTGGCTGTTACTTTGCTTCTGTGGGTTTTATTTTTCAAAAGGAAGGATCTCTCTGCTGCTGGTGACTCAAGCAAAAGTCCCACTAAGTGACTTGTGAAGTGCATTGCCCTGAATCCTCAGGCAGCTTCCCTGTCAAGCCCACCTTCTCCAGCACTTCTGGGAAACTGTTTGGTATTGACACTGCTCCAGGAGTAACCAATCTTTAGAGTAAAACTGGCCCTTCCCCTCTGCCCCTAAAATGAGTATATTGAAAAGGGTAGTATTTGGCTCTGATGGGTGAAAAAACATCTTTTATGTCCCAACAAAAGATTTCTGGCTGGTCTGTAAAAGACAGGGTTTCCTGAAGCCTTTTATGACCCTTTCAAACATAGTATGATAATGGAGAGTATTCATTCTCAAAGCTGCTTTGGCTGTCTGAGTCCAGTGGGCTAGAGTGTTTGTCTCATCTGTATTAGAATTAGGTAAAAGTCTAAAACACAACTAAATGAATTCAGGAAAGAAGAATGACAGCTTCTCAGTGCTGTAACTGGGCTATTTTCAATGGCCCTTAGATGATTTGGATCAATCAAGAATTTAATTCAGTGCCTGAATTTTTTTTTCTGGTTTTTTTTTTATTTGTTGCCCTTCAGGGGAATATGAAAAGACAGTCTAGCAACGTAACAAAATTGTTATAACTGGTTTATTCATTCAGATTTATACATGTATGACCTGCTTCTCCTCTCACACGGGAGGAAATCAGCAGTAATTCCACTGAAGTCAGAGACACTATGCCACTTTGAAAGTGAGAGGAAAACAAGATGAGAGGACTAGAATCTTCATTAGTATATAGTGCTACACCTGGATGCCTGCCCACTGTAGGAGAACACAGATGTGAAATAACAATCACCAGAACATAACGGTCATAATGGGATTGTTCACTGACTCCTCTTTGGATGACGCAGCTACAATGCCGTTGTGCTCACAGTTGTCAAAATGATTCTTGTCCAGCAAGCAGATGAAAAGGCCCCCCTCAATCAAGGCGCAGGCCATATAGCATAGACTTTTAGTGCATTAACAATCCTGTGTTAGAGAGATTCATGGTGATCAAAACTCTCCCAACACAACGTTGCAAAAAAATTGTGGCTCTACAAAAGAGATCGCCTTTTGCCAAAAAAGTTTACAGCAATCAAATCTCATTGGTAGGTAGAAATCTGGACTTGGGGTATAATATTATGTTCCTGTTGCTAATGGCTTCTTTCACTTTCCTTTTGCTCCAGAGGACAATGAGAATTCAAAGTCAGATGAGAAAGGAAACCAGTCAGAAAACAGTGAAGACCCTGAATCCGACAGGAAAAAGTCAGGAAATCAGTCAGATAATGAAATGAACTGTAATGATGATGGGAACAGCTCCAGCAACCAGGACAGCAGGGACAGTGATGACAGCTTTGAAAACTCTGACTTCGAGAATCAAAAGGCCCCTGAGGACAGTTTTGGCACTCTTGGCTCTATGCAGATCAAGGTGGAGCGCTATGTTGAGAGTGAGTCAGACTTGCGATTGCAGAACTGTGAATCACTGACCTCGGACAGTGCCAAGGACTCAGACAGTGCAGGGGAAGTAAATGCCCAGTCTTCCAGCAAACATCAAAAGAGGAAGAAGAGGAGAAAAAAGCAAAAGGGAGGCAGCATGACCCGGAGAAGGCTGTCAAGCACCTCAAGTCCAAATGGACTTGACTCAGCTTTGGTGGACCAGCCCCAGCTGCTCTCGTCACCAAACAGTGCCTCAGTGCTCAAAATTAAAACAGAAATCTCAGAACCTATCAATTTTGATAATGATAGCAGTATTTGGAATTACCCACCCAACAGGGAAATCTCAAGGAATGAATCACCCTACAGTATGACCAAGCCCCCCAGCTCCGAGCACTTCCCTTCCCCCCAAGCCAGCAGTAGTTTACATGTCTCCATTCCAGACTCCGTTCTCACCCCGCCAGGGACTGAAAATACTGCCAGCCGTAAAACTCAGTTCAGCACCTCATCCAACTCGGCCTTGGCTCCTGTGTCCTCTGACCCTTTGTCACCCCCACTTTCAGCATCTCCACGGGACAAACATCCAGGAGGTCCCACAACTTCCAACTCTTTGTTGTACACTGGGGATCTGGAAGCCCTTCAGAGGTTACAAGCAGGCAATGTGGTGCTTCCTTTGGTTCACAGGGTAACGGGAACCCTTGCTGCGACCAGCACTGCTGCTCAGAGGGTCTACACCACTGGCACTATTCGGTATGCTCCAGCTGAAGTTACTTTAGCCATGCAGGGCAACCTCCTCCCCAACACCCATGCTGTTAACTTTGTTGATGTTAACAGCCCCAGCTTTGGGCTGGATCCTAAAACACCGATGGAAATGCTCTACCACCACGTTCACCGACTCAATATGTCGGGACCGTTTGGAAGTGCTGTGAGCGGGGCCAGTCTGACCCAAATGCCTGCAGGGAATGTGTTCACAACTGCCGAAGGACTTTTTTCCACTCTTCCATTTCCTGTGTACAGCAATGGCATTCACACTACACAGACTCTGGAACGGAAAGAGGATTGAAATATGACCACATACTGTGTTCAGTGTTATACTCTGAGGCATAGACTATGTTTTAATTTAGACCTTTAATTCTAGCACTTTGAATTTGAGCAGGTCAGCTTATTCTCTCAATATGATGGCCCCCATTTCATTCCCTTTCTCTTTAACTTGACTTATTCTTTAATGTAAAGATATTTTTTTATTTTTGCCTTCAGAGAGTCGAAGTACCAGTTGCCTGCCATTTTGTCTTCTTCTAAGATGTGTGTTTTTTCCTTTGCATCTTTATTAAGATGCCTTTAATATGTGTATGCCTCTGCCATAGAATACTCAGTGTTGTGGTAAAGAGATTTTAAAGTGACAACCATTGGTTTTACTTCAAAATGATCTTGATATGATCAAGATTAAAAGAGACAAGCATAAACAATGTGCCCTGTTTGACTAAGTCAAATGAAAAGGGGTTTTTGTTCCTAATTCCTTTAAAAATAGGGGATAGTATTTTAGAATTTTATGCAGAGTTTAATTCTCTTTTTATGGTTAAGATTTTCTTACTTGCACATAAAATAATTTGGGTTCTTAAAAAGTTAATTTCTGGCCTGTGACTAGAATGTTAAAAAGTTGGACTAAATGTTAATTACTGAAACTTTAACTTAATTTCTAAAACCATGGTGCTATCATTTATTAATCTGTAATGTCTTCATACAATATGCAGCTTGTGGGCTGGGTTTTTTGAAAAGAATGTGTTCCGTACTGGTTTATAGTCGGGTGCTGCAGTCTCCTTGGTTAGTTAAGACAAAAGCCCTCATTAACATTTGCTGCAGGACTTAAAATTTTTTACCTCCAAACTAACAAGCATAGCCTCACATCAAATTTAAATGGGTCAGGAAGCCTTTTTCAAAAAGTGCTTAAAAACAAAAAACTCAATTTAATTGACGCGAGGAGCAGTTTCTTAGGTGCATATTGTTTTGCTTTATTTTTTTCTCAGTGTAACTGAGGCTAATTTTACAACGTCAAATAACACTTCGGAGTAAAAAAAAAAAAACAGAAGAACTATTTAACATGTTTTGTTTTTCATTTAATATTATAGAGGGAAGGTTGTAAATTTCCTTTTGTTCTTTGATTTGGGTATTTTTTGTTGTTTTTTTCCTTATTTCTAGTGTTGAAACCAATATGTTTTAAAACTAAAGAATGGGTTAATAAGCTTGAAATAGATAACTACAACTGAAAACTGCACATTAAGTAAAAGAAAAGAAATCTCCTATTTTGTCTTTGTTGCCAGAAATCACAGTGTAGTGTCAAACACTCCAAATGACTGTCAAATATAAATTCTTCTTCCACTCCATCTTTGGCAGCTGTTTGTTAAGGCATCTAATAACAGATGTGAGAACTGTAATGTGTACAATGTGTAAGTGTCCTTGGCTGTCAGTCCCATTGCAGTTTCAATGTGTGTTACTATATGCAGTATATACTAAGCTAATGTAGTTGTTTTGTCCTTTGTCTTCTCTGTGCTTTATCTCTAGTCCGGAGTGGTAAAGTCCCATTCCTGCAGTCCTAGTGAACCAGTGATTCTTGGGGGTTAGTGGTTTTTGTGTGGTGGCCTTCCTCTGTAATGTCACCTTATGCTGCTTCCACTGTCTGTATACCTTTTAATTTCTGCTGTTGCTTTGCTGTTGTGTATTCTCAAACCTCTCTCTCCCCCTTCCTCTCTCCCCTCCTCTCCACGCCTCTCCTCTCTCTCTTTCTCTCGCTCTCTCGTTCTCTCTTCTTCACTCTCAGAGATAAAAGACTCTTAACTAGCTCAAGGTTAATGGAGCCATTTTTCCCACAGAGGAATTCTGGGTATGACTTACTCTTCCAGTGTACCCCACAATGCACTACAGAGTAATGCTCAGATATATTAAGCAAATTGATGCCATATAGCCTCAGTTGTTAACATTCCCAGAGTCCCTTGTGCTCAAACTGTAAGCAGAGGGTGCATTTCTTTGGTTTTCTCCCAGGTAGGCTGGCGGAGTAATACGTAGAGCAATTACCAGTGAGGTATGAAATGCTTTCAAAGGTCAACCAGCATTGTTTAAAAAGGAAACTGAGCTTAGAATTGTCATATATATTTGCTTACGTGTGCAATGCTAATATATTAACTCAGCTGTCCTTTGAATTTTTGATTCGAGTCGAGTCAATTCCTGCGGTAGTTTTGAATTTGAGAAGTAGGTCCAAGCCACAGCGGAGTAATAGCGAAAAAGGAATTGGACGCCACAAATTTAATTAATGAGCTTTTAAAGGAAGGATTTAAGTAGGTCTAAAAAAGGCGAGATTGGGAAAGTCAAAGTTTAATTTTGGAAGCTCTACTCTAGCTATGGAACAATCAAAGGAGTGCACCTATCAGCTACAAAGAACAGCTAGACAGCTGTTGTTGTTTTGTTTTTTTTTTTTATAAATGTTTCTGTGTTGTGTCAAAATGATTTCTGGTGATTTAAACTAACAGATAATCACAGCTGCTGTCTAAATCCATAGTGTTTAAAATTACAAAATGAAAAAAAAACTTCATTACCTGTGAAGACTGTGTCTGTGTTTTTAACTATTTCTTGTACAAATATATGAAATCTTTTATGAGGAGACTGGTGCCAAGTAGCTGAATAATGGGGAAAGGGATTCTGTTCGTATAAATCTTAGCAGTGTTACCAACTCTACAATATAAAAAAAAATTAAAATGTTAAAAAGTGACAGCTATGGTACATTTATTTTGTGTTAAGCTAACCGAATCTAACTTCTTGAGTGCCTGGCTTATTTGAAACATTTTTTTCATTGATCATTGATAATGCTGCAAATCAGAAATGTACATACTTCATTTACAACAGGGTTCTTTTTATACTTTTGTAGATTCTCATACATGTCATACATGGTTGTCTTTATGTAACTTAATTTTTTTTCATCCCGCAGGTGCCATTTTCATAATAAACTTCTCTTGGATTTGTTACTATCTGGCATCATTTCTTTTACATATAACCATCCTGACTAATGAATGCTGGTAGTATTTGTTTGAGCAGGTATTTTTTAATTGTTTTGTTTAAAAAAAAAAAAAAAACAAAAAAAAAACCAAGAAAAAATAACCAAAAATCAAAGAGGATAAAGCTAGATTTTATTAACACTTGTGAAATGAAGAAAAGAAGCTGTCAAGATGTAGGTTGAGAATGCTAATCCAAATACTACAACAAACTTGCCACCATCCTAAATTCTCAGCTACCCCAACTCATTGTCATATTGAGCATTTTTATGCACATTATCAAAGCTGAATAATGGAACTGCAACATTAACCACTACAGAAAGTGTGCATTTTTTCTTGATTAATGCACACTGGAAGAGGTCAGCTTTTGTACATTAATCATTTAAAATGCACTTTATATTTTCATTTTTGTACTCTACAATGTTACAGTGAAACTCTTCAGTCACATTATATCCTACCTAGACTGCTGATGCTTTTAAATGCGTACTTTCTTTCCCCGGACTGGCAACATGTAAGTTGTTGGTGTCGTGTGGCTAGACTTTCTGCCTGACAAACTGAGGACAGAGACATTTACCAGCATAGAAAAGACAAGGCAAAAAGCCTTGACCTCACAACTGAAGGGAAAAAAAATACCTCAAGTACAGTTTTGGTTACGCAGACATCCACACACAGTGGTTGACCCTAAAAAGGGAACAGCCATTGGCAATTATGCCTGCATAAGTTCTGAAAAAAGGCCCGGAGCAAGTGTGTTTGGTCTCTGCTGTGGAAAAGCAGGGAGAAGCTACACTACAGGAGATGCCGCCCCAGGTACCCATCGCTCTGTGCTGACTCCGACGGTGGCTGCTGCACGCACAAGGAGGGGCTGGGTCGTGGCAGGTTGGGGAGTGGGAGCTCACGCGGTCTCTGCGTTTCTCCTTCATTCATTGGCTTTCTTTACGGTGCCTCCCCCACCTGCGCCAAAGATTTCCAGATTTTTCCATATTTTATTTTGTTATTGCTGAGTATGCAATCTCTAAGAACTCAAATTTTGGGCATGTAAAATCAAGACAGTGTCACCCATAGCCAAAATCTGTAAGCAACTTTGAGTGCCCAAATCTTTTCTCCTCTGTATGTCCACTTAGAAATTAAAACTATTGGGCTAGTCATTCTGGATCAGATTTTGGTTGCTTTATTAATGCTGAGTAAAACTGTCTAATCAGTTGCACAGTTTTCAGCATATCTTTTTACAGCAAAGGATACACTCAGCTGAAGTAAGAGTATGTGAATCTGGCTTGCTGGGCTGATAAAACAAAAAACCCACAAAAAATGTATGCACAGTTCTAGCTCGGTGAGCCAGCCCAATGGCTTCACAGCCTGAAGTCTGGCTCTTTGAGTTTCCGAGCAGTTCAGGATTCCCGCTTCCCAGACTCCAAGCACTGAGTTTGATATGTCTCCAGCTTGCAGGGGGGTAGGAAGGAGCAGAGGTTAGCAGTGCTGCTTTCAGGTCTGCTCACATGTTCCAGTTGGCAATGCATCTTGTTTATGAGGTAGCTAAGGGTATGGATGCCAACCGAGAGGAAAACGGAATTTAAATGGAGATTGGAAGAATGACTAGAATAAAGCTTAATGGAAGAATAACATGCCCGTTCCAAAAAAGTGTTAACCAATATTAACTAAAGCCACTAATCCCAAGAAGGGGCTTGAGGGGGGCGTTTCCAAGCTCTTATAAAGGCTTTTTAAACCTCAACCATACTGCCTATACATTGCATCAGAGCACAGAGTTGATGGTCAAAGTGAATAGACTGCTCTAAGACTTCCAGCTGAATGAGAAAATTCGTGCATTAAAGAACATTTGGAAAGGCTGTTTCGTGGGGTTTTTTTGTAGTGATGCTGTTGCATCGATATAGCTCTAGGGAATGGATTTTGTAAGTTACTATTTGTAGCAATTTTAAGAAACAAAACTGCTTGAAAGAGTTGAATCCTTTGAAAAGGGTTCTTTGGGGTTGGTCTAGTTGCTATTTTTATAATATTTGGAGGAAAAACTGTTTGCCATGCAGGAGGTTGGGCAAACTTTGTCAAGCCATTTCATCAAAGAAAAGAGTTGCAAGGGGAAAAGGGCTCTTTCAAAGTGTCATGACTCTGAAAAGTTACAGTGATAGAAAAATGTTTCAGGACTACTTAGATAACTAGCTCTGACAGCTTGCACTGGTGCTATCGCAAGGTAGTCATGTCACTGGAGTAACTGTGATGCCCCTGACAGCACATTTATTGTTATGATTCTAGGAGCTCCATTAGTTTAAATGTGTCAGTGCTTTCAGAGGCATTTGCATGGTATTTTTCCTTCTTGCCATTGTAATTTCTTTATTTTCATTTTAGGGCTGGGGGCGGAGGGTGGAAAGGCTGGGTGTGCATTGTCAACTAATTTAATGAACTGTCATCTATCCAGCGAGTTTACTGGGGAGCCTGCAGAAATGTGAACAAATGGGATGTCACCAGAGCCATGGAAACTCAGGTAAGATCAAACCATTTATAAAGCATGCACATGCATGCACACAGACACACAGATCTGCTACCTCTGAAAGCCAGTTGGGCTTTCAGACTGGGCAGGGTAGTACCTATGTATATATGCATAATAAAGGTCCTTTCTTCCCCTCTTCCACCTATTCCTTCATCTTTTCATCAGAGGGAGAGAGTACTGGAAGCTATTATTCTCTCTCTCAGCATAAGTAGTTTTTATATAGTGTATGAAAAGGTATATTTTACTGGCTGAAATAACACCCCAGTGATTCCTCTAATAGCTTTGAAATTTCCAAATAGCACTCAAGACCCAATTTTCATAAAACATATCCAATCACATCAACACTTTCTTTCACCAAATCAAACAGGATCTTTCTGAAAGCAATAGGACTCAAGTCAAGGATGCAGAGTTCTGCTTTTAATTGACCTGAATCAGGACAGCTATTCTCCACTACAGTTTTTTT